CATATAAAGTGAATCAAATCATTTTTCTTATAACTTATAGGGCAATACAAAGCATGGTTTTGAAAACCAGACGGTGGAACTGGAAAACTGGGAATATTCGGCAGGTAATCTGTTCTGTTTCACCCTAAAATTGTTTTTTTATTAAAAACCGTTGGTTTGGTCAACAACCCACTGATCCAGGTGATCAAACCATTGATTTGGACAAGGGTTTTTGTTCATTTTTTATTTTTTAAGTCAAAACGGGCCATCCATTCGAACTGGATGGTCAGATCATTCGACCCAAAAACTGGTCCCTAGACCAATTCCCTATCCGATCCGATTTTAAAAACCTTGATACAAAGTCAAATATAAAGAATGTATTTATTTATAGTGCAAATATTAACCAAATACAAATTTTATACTTGGTTCAACTTTACATTTGTTTGTTTATAACTATGATTTGCACTCTTACTTGATTCAAAATACTTTTTGGTTTCATTTTCACTTAGTGGTAGTGCCCATTTTTCTTCCCGAAAACCTGATGCAAAATGTGCACCAGGTTTTTTTGTCTTCAATGTAAATGATGGTATTTACATAAAAAAATTAAACCAAAATTTAAATCTAATGCAAATAAGACAAAGTCAAGTCTAATGCAAATTTAAACCAAAATTAAGCTTTATTTGTCTTTAATTTAAATGATGGTATTTGTAACAAAACTCTAATCTCAAGGGCAATTTAATAGAAGGTATGAAGGATCTTGACATTTTAGAGGAAGGTAAATTGATTTGTTAGGGGAGCGATTTGGGTGATAGTAACAAGAAGTGGGATGATGGATTGAGAAACATTTCTTTATGGCTACTTGGTTGGTTGTTTTGTAGATTTTGTGCAGTATATTAGGGAGCTTGAATGTTGGGTGGACAAGGTCTAGAAATTCCACTCAATCTTGACTATCAAGGCTTCTTTGGATGTCAATTTCTATTCTTCTTTAAATCGAAGGTGTAGATGTTCTACTATCCAACCAAAAGGCTTCAATGGCACAGAGCTAGTTCTTTAGAGATAGGATCCGTGGGTGGGTGACATTCAAGCGTCTAGTGAATTCTAAAAATGGTGGGTTATATATAGTTTTTGGACTACCACTTCACACATTGGTGTTGGTCCAGATTTAATGAATTTGGAGATGATTTAGATGGTTTCATTGCAATAAATGAAGAGAACCTTACTCTCTTAGTCAGATGAACAAGGTTGTAGTCCAATTTAGTGGGGTCAATGAGTTTAATCGAATTATTGGACCAGGTTAGCAATGAACAAGTCAATAGGCTCGACCAGAGGAGAGAGGATGAGATGGGTGAGTTGAAGGGGAAAAAAAGAGGAGAGTACTTGGATAGGGGCATGCACTGGGAGGATGGAAAGGGGTGAAGTGGCTCATAATAGTTTAGGCAACCTCTAAGGATTTGTTTGGTTCACAGTTGGAATTGGAATCAGAATCGGAATAGTCTATTCCTATAGTCTGTTTGGTTCAGACAGGAATAGGAATGAGAATTGGAATTAGCAGGAATGGGGAGGGGCAAGGAATGGCCATTCCCTCAAATGAAGGAATGTTATTCCAGCAAGAATGAGAATGGGATTCTGATTCCGCCCAACCAAACAGTTGGATTCGGAATAGCCCATTCCAATTTCGATTCCAAACCTCTATTTCTGTGAACCAAACGGGGCCTAAGGTCTTTTTGGACTATTGATGGAATACTCAAGGGGCACCAAAAAGGGGGTAAGGCTGATGTGACCAATGTCTTATCTCCCAGCTAGAGTGGTTGTCTATTTGTTCTCCAGGTTTGATATAATACCTTGTAGGCATTTGGTATCAATCATGAATCTTTATATATATATATATATATATATATATATATTTTTTTTTTCTCTCAAAGACTATACAATGGGAGTAGCCCATCCCCGATCCATAGTTCCCCAACCCTAGTGTTGGCAAGATTTGATCCTAAGTCTCTGCTACGGCTAACAAGAGGCCTTACCAACCAGCTGGTTGGCACCTTGCTATCAATCATGAATTTTAATACTTATTTTGATGAGATGAAAGCTGTTCTGGTTCAAGTATTTACGATTGAAACTTGCTAAAAAGTATCATATCTGAATTATTCTCCTATGCACTCATTAGGTAAAGAAAAGGAAAATCAGTTCCAAAAGGAGAAATGATTATAATATATGTTTGAATGGTAAATCCTTGATAATAAGCCTTGATAATAAGTGTCATTAGGGGGTCATGACCACTTTATATTCACATTTGATGATGTCAAAAGGGGAAGAACAGTGGGTGCATTAGTAGCTTAAAAGAGGAGAAGAGGTATGAAAATGGTTGAAAAGGGGGAAAAAGTAAACTGACATATAATTATGCAAGTTAGGGGGAGCATTTGCCAATTGATATTTTATTTAGTGTGATGTGCATTTAATTTTTTTATGGAAAATAAATGTAGAATATTTCACTTAAAAATTTCTCCCAAATTTATAGTGCTTATATTGTTAAAGAAATTGTAAAGGAGTTAAATGTGTAATCTAAGGTGCTTAATGGTTTCTCCTTGCTATTCCTTAGTTTTGCAATGAGATGGTTTGCCATCTTTAAAGGGGGAGATTGTTGGCGGGAAACCAAATGTATTTGGTGATAGAAAATGCACTAAGTTTGGTTCTAGTGGTTGGATCTTGCAGCCTCAAATGTGCTTTATCTATTTGAATGATTACAAGTTTACTTTAAAAGGTTGTTATTCAAGTTCAACATTTACAAAGGGACTTCCAAGTGGAAAGAAAGAAGAAAGTGTTAGATGGTGTATGCCCTCAGTATCTAGTATATGATGTACAGTGTATTTTATCATGAATAAAATTGTAGTTTATGGTTTGGTTATTTATATTACTCAGGTATGTTTTTGTGAAAAGTCCTTGTTATATATTTTAGGATGTACATTTGAGACATCTTCTTTAATATATAGACCAAATATGTTCTTAGTGAGTGAATAGATATGGGCATTTATTCTGATAAGCAACCTTAGAAACCAATGGCTAGAATGTGTTTGGTTCCTAAGCTTTTTTGGACTTAAACAAGTGATTATAATTATAAAAATATATTTTGAAAGCCAATAAAAGATATCTTAAACCTTTGGATACGAATTTCCAAGGTTTCTAAGTATTGGGTTGTCTATTAGACAAGATTACTTGGCTCCATAGAGTAATCAACTACTTACAAATGTATAGTCGATTGGCTATGATAGGTGAGGAAAGTTTAGCCTGATTGTGAGACACAATTGACTACCTCAATAAGCATAGTCAACTAACTAGGATAGTGGAAGCATAAAATGCCAAGACTATGTGTTATACTTGGCTAACTATGACATTCAAGGGATGAACATGCCCTGATTGAGAATATTAGTTGACCAATCAAAATAGCATAGTTAACTAACCCAAATAGACTATATTCAAATGATATCGATCAACTGGTATGGAGGAACTAGTTGACCGGGAGAGAAAAAAAATTACATTGGGTTGATGTTCCAGTTAAACTTAGGGTTGATTTTTGTCAACCAAACTTCACTTTGGGTTGGGCTCTAAACCTGACTCTACTATTGCTTCTAAAAGCTATATATATATATAGATAGATATATATATTTGTGTGTGTATAAATATGTTTTAGATATGTTATATGTACTATTTTATATTTAATTTATATTTTTTATTTCATTTTTTAATTTTTATTTATAAAAATATTAAAAATTTCAATTTGAGGCCAAAAAATGGATTCTTTTCACGAAAATAGTAGGGCAAGGTGCCTATGGCCCCTTGGGACACATAGATCTCGAAAAGTTACCCAGAAAAAAACAAAATCACCCTAATCAGACATTGGAGTGCAAAGTTATGGCCTCTGAAAGTTTGTATGCATTGAGTATGCAACCCGCAACCCGGTCATTGGGTCGAATGGTTCTTGACCAAGTCAATGCTATTTTACCATCTGGCGGGTCTTGACTGAATTGAACCTAGAATCCTGGTTGGGTGACGGTTTGAATAGTTTGACCAGCTAGGTCAACAACGGGTTAAAAACATTGTTTATTATTGATTTCATGATTTTAAGTTTTCAATATATATAAATATATATATATATATATAAATATATATATATATATATATTATAATTCATAATAAGCTATAATAATTCGAAGCAATCATTTTTTTAACTTTTACTAAAAAAGCAATAAAAACACAAAACAAGCAAATACCAAATAAAAAATATAGTTAATATATGATAATAAAAGTTTAGTTTAGGTGTCTCATTTAAAGATTAAGAAAAATTGAAAGATTTTATGAAATTTTAAGAGGATGAGAGAAAATCCATAATCAACTTCAAGTTGAGTTGGGTTTGGGTTAGAAATGAGGAGTTTAGTTTGGGTTAGGATCCAGTTTGGGTTTCAAAACTTTGGGTTGGGCTAGGATCGACTTCAACCCGTCTTATCCTAGACCCAGCTGACTTTACCCTTAATCTATTACTAAGCAGATGGTCAGGACTCGTCAAAATGATGCATGGTACTTTGTAAAACCATTTTTCTTGCACATGATGTGATTTAGGGGGTGTTCTTTTTTGGATTTTGAGAGGGGGGGAAAGTTGATCAATGGGATTTTGGTTCCTATTGACCAAGAATCCCATGTTCTTTTTTCAGATTTATGTGGGGATTAGGGAATGTTTATTTTCCTGGGTACCACTTACCCGGGTAAGTAATACTCATCTCCTAAGTGGGTAAATAACTTTCTCGCCTAGGGGGAAGTTGTCAACACTTAAATGGGACAAAAATGCCCCTTTTAATAATGGATTTTATGGCTAAAATTGTCATTGCCTTATTTACATGAAAAATAAAAGAACATGGGTAAATGCACTTACCTGGGTAAGTGTTTCCTAGGAAAAACCTACCCAAGTAACTGCATTTACCTGGATAAGCAACTTACCAAAAAGTGAACGGGGCCTTAGGGTTAACTTGTTACCTATTCTGAGGGGAGGCCTTTACAGCACGTTCAAAGTAATTGGATGCTCTTTCTTGATCTCCATGTACTTTCCACCTTAATTTGGCATACTCTGATAACACTTCCCCATCATTTGGATTTGCCAAGATTGCCCTCGAATATAATTTCTCCGCCTTCTCGTAGTCTCCTTTAACCTATCACGTTGGAAAAAGAGATTAAATCAATATTCAAAGATCGGAACAGTAGGCACTATTCAGAAAAAGAAGAGGTTCACAGGTTTAAGGTTCAATAGAAGTTGAGGTAAGGTATTTATGGGGCCTTGAAATATATATACAAATTATCCAAAATCAAAAGGAAAAAAATACCCAAAACGGACAATCGACTGCAAAAGTTCCTACAAAAATTTGCACATAAGGCTGTGTTTCGTTGCAGTGCAATACAAAACTATGGTAATGCAAATGATTTGGGTGCAAGTTTTGATTCATTTTTGTTTCAAATTTCACCTTATTTTGTTTGGTTGCAATAAAAATGAAGTAAAATAAGACCCAAAGTAGAATAAAGTAAAATCCAAAACAAATTTAAACCAAAATTTGTATTCTTTTCATTTGCACTCCCATACAGTTGTACTCAGTTTGGAAAGAGTACAAATACAAATATATACAAAATATATATAAGGTTTTGCACTATACATCTTTGCATTTGTACTACAAATACAAATATCTATACTACTTTAAAAAGTATGAATGGCCTCAAGAATATTTCTGGAATTTTCTAAGGACAATATTTACCCCTCTATATTTAAAAAAAATAATGATAAAAAAATGAGGGCAAATAGGGTAATTGGTTCTTGATATTAAATGACTTGAAAATAGGTAATTTAAAGATATTCAATGCATTCAATCCTCTATCATTAAATCCAACATTTAAGTTATTAACTTGCATTCATGTTCATTGAATCATATATTTAAGTCATTTTTATTTCTTCTCATTATTAAGTTCTATTAATTAAATCCATACTTAATAAATTAATAATTCCAATAACATAAAARCWTATAMCTTTAAAATMTACCTARCAAAAATAGTGTTTTCATCTAAGTGGTGGTAAGAAATTAAATCATTTTGGGTCAAATGGGTTAACCCATGCTGCCACGATTAAATAATAAAATTAAAAAATAGATAAAATGAAAAAAATTGGGAACATTTTTAACATACATATTAAACAATAATAAGTATGTTAAATAAGAAATGTTTTTATTAATGATAAAAATGGAATGTAAAATTTAAAACCAATTGGAAATAAAAATATTTTCCTATTCTCTCTCATTAAATCCTATATTTAAAATATATTTTTTGCATAATTAAATCCATAATATTAATTTTAATAGTATAAAAATAAATATTTTGAAAACAAAACCATTTTCTTCCCTCACGGTGGTGGGCAAGCAATTTGACCAGTTGGGGTCAAATGGATTAATAAATAATGTCATAATTAAATAATAAAAAATTAAAATAAATAACTACAAAATATAAGAAGTATTTTTATTAATGATGAAAATGGAAAGCCAATTCCAAAATCTACCTAGAAATTAAATGATATCATAGTTAAATAATAAAATTTTTAATAATAGAAAATAAAAAGTATCACTAAAATAAAAAAAGATAAGAGAAAATTTTGGGTACACATCTAATGTTATATATTTATAAAAAAATAAAATATCGGGTACATCTTTAATATTGTACATTCATTATATTGAACAAAGTAAGTTTTATACATAAGAAATAATTTTATCAATGATGGAAATGTAATACAAAATTTAATGTCAACCTAGAAATCAAACAATTTTTATTTTTAGATGGTGGGTTTGTGGTTTGAGTAAAATGATATCATAGACAAACAAAAACTAAGTGTGATAAGTACAAAATATTTTATATAATGTAATTGAAATATATAATTTAAAGGAAAAATTATAGTCAAAGTCGGTTGTACATTTAAAATTAGGTTACAGGTTGGTCTAGAAACCAACCAAATTCTGAAAATTGACTCTACATTTCAAATTATAAAAACCCCCACCATGTCATCAGAGGCTTATGTGGTTGTTGCCAACATGGGACTCTTATTCCATGTTGGACACAACAAAAAACCTATATCAAAAATAGGTTTAGTTTCTCTCCCACTCCCTCTATTTCTCGATCTCCCTCCCTTCTCTCTCACTCTCATAGTCATCTCTTGATCTCCCGCTCCCTCTGTCTCTCCCACTCTCTCCTTCAGTCTATAGCCAAATCAAAACCTCTCTCTCTCTCTCTCTCTCTCTCTCTCTCTCTTGTTCTCTCTCAATCTTTCTCATTCTTCTCCCTCACTCTCCCTCTCAGTCAAAATCTCCTTCAAACTGATATAGAAATTAAAGGAGAAGGAGAGATCACAAAGTCATTGAGTAGATATAGAAAATGTAAATACAGAAACTGATATAGAAAATGTAAATACAGAAATTGATATAGAAAATGTAAATACAAAAGCCAAAAACCATTTTTATTTATTTTCAAACCACAAAGTCATTGAGCAGATAAAGATGACTGTGAGTGAAAGAGTGTGAGGGAGATTGAGAGAGAGAAAGAGAGAAACTAAAAACCTTTTTTTTATTTTCCAATCACCCATTATTAAAGGGCAATTTCAGTATAAGCTTTTTATTGTGTCCAATATGGATTAAGAGTCCCATGTTGGCAATAGCCACATAACCCTTCGATGACATGGTGAGGGTTTTTATAACTTGAAATGTAGAGCCATTTGTTAGAGTTTTGTTGGTTTATGGATTAACTTGTAACCAAATTTTAATTGTACAGTCGCCTCCGACTATAATTTTCCCTAATTTAAAACTAATCCAAAAGCAATGCTATTTCTTATCTACATGGTGGGTTAATGATCAAACTTTTCAAAAAAATGCATGATGTCATAATTGAATAATAAATATTTAAGTTCATTTTTAATTATATTGTTACTTTTTTTAATTTTCAATTTCTATCCTTACTATGTTATATCTAAAATTCAAGTAATTAATATGAAGAAAAATCTCTCACGTGCAACGCATGTGCTTAATTACTAGTATACAAAATAATACAAAATATAAGGTTTTGCACTCTACATAGTTGTGTTTGTACTCCTTCCAAACAAGGTTCAAAGTATCGACACAGGCTGATACACCGGTAAGGCATATCGACCTGTATCGGTATTTTTATTTAAGTTTTATTTATTTTTTTGAAACCGGTTTAGAGGGATCGGTTTAAGGCCCAACCACCCTCTGGACCAGTGTCTGACCCAATACAACCCTTAGAATGGCATATCAGTAAGCCATCGGCACAATACATATCGGTCGATACGTATTGATACTTTGAACCTTGCTTCCAAATAGAGCCTAAGGTAAAATAAAAATGATTAAAAAACTAGCCAGTTTTACAAAATGGTGACTAATTCATTGGTTCTCCAGTTAGACCAAGTTAGACTAGCCAGTCAGCCAATCTTTTAATGGTTCCAATTTTTGGGTTATGACCAAGGTTCAAAGTATAAGGGCATATTGGCTGATACGTGTCATAATGGTGACCGATACACCCCCTATAGTGGGTGTTTTGGGGTCTGACCTGATTCACGGGGTAGACGGGCCTTAAACCAACCCTTGAACCAGTTTAAAAAATAAAAAATAAACTAAAAAAATAAAGGTGCAGCTCGATACAGGCCAATATGCCCCAACCTGGGTCACAGTTTAACTGGTCCAACCGGCTGGTCCGGTCCAGTTTTCTTAACATTGGATTAAAAACAAAAACATCAACAAAGAATTGCATTAATTTGTGTAATGTTAAAAAAAAAAAAAAAAAGAAAAGAAAGAGAAAGAGTTGCATTTGTTAGACCTCTTACCTTGTTCAAATACGTGGCATAATTTCTCAATATAAGTGGATTGCAGGGATCATCGTGTAGGAGGTTCTGGTAATGCTGTTGTGTCCGTTCATCACTGAACGTGCTTTTCTTAGTCTCCGCTCTATCCGGGTCGACGCCCAGTCCTAGAGCCAGACACAAATATCTTGGTTCCTGACAGAAAAGACTTTCTGAGAGGCCAAATGTTTCATTTTCTTCGCTTCTGTTAGCATAATGACTCCCCAACGGAGGGAGACTGAATCCATCTCCGTCGTCGCCAGTGTTGGTGGCCAACTCTTCTTCGTCTTCAATTTCATTCCCATTTCTATCATACAACGAGAATGACGGAATTGGTTCGAGCTTTATCATGGATTTGTATTCGTTATGCCTCGTCGTCGATGTCGGAAAAACCTTGCCGGATTGCAGCGGGGAGTCTGCCCCGTCCCCGGCCGGCCATGTGATTGATGTGGCGTGCAAGTTGCCATCGGAGGTTACGCGACGGATGTGTTTATGTTTTGATTGCCGTGTGACCGGAGATGGGTTGGCCGGTAACGATATTTTCAGGTTGGTTTCTGGAGTGGAGGATATTCTCCAAGAGCTTTTTGAGTTAACTCCTGCATCTTCTATTATAGAAGACGAGATAGGGGTAGAGGAGCTTCGTAGCAACATCATTTGAAGGATAAAGTTAGATGTTATCTTCTCTCCGATTAGCTTCATATACTTCTTCTATTTTCATATTTTTATAAAAGCTCCTTAATTACCGTGTTTTTTGGTGACATATAGGTTGGGTAGATGGGTTTTGGGCCATGAATTTTGGTGACATATGTGGGTTTCGGGCCATGAATCCTGTTTCCTAATTTAATACAAAGGCATTCTCTTCCTGAAATCAAATCCCAAAATCTGGGACCGATGGGGCTATAAATAGCATCATACACCGGGACCGAACACTTACCGGATCGAAAATACAAATAACATGAAAAATATATAAAAGGTTCGAAGTATCGACACTATACGTCTTAATACGAGGCATATATATATATATATAAATTGTATCACAATACACACTTCTACCGTACATTGAGATGTATCAATACTTTGAACCATAGAAGTTAGTACGAAAAATAAATGTAAACACTATGTACGCCCCTATATTGTGGGGCGTGTTTCATTTACGGTCTAAACAGAAAATGGAAAAGTACGGATAGGCCTAATGCAGATTTCTGATTCTCACTGTAAATCTATAAATATTCAGAGGGTCCAAAAACCATATTCTATGCACCTATACCCATCCGTGAATTAGTATCAATTCCGAATTGACACCTAACCAAATGTATTTGAACCTACAAATTCTGACGGTCATTCTCCCAAAAACATCTCCCGTTAATCACATGATGTATCACGCCTTTTTAAATGCAACTTTCAAAACATTCTAAGTCGAGCTCACATCGCCACGCCATCTTTCATACCTAAAACTTAAATTTAAGGCATTTTAATTTTATTAACCCGCCCAACCCTCCTCTCTCTTACTCACTAGCTTCTTTTTCCTACTCCCCTCTCTCCCTTTCTCTCTTCCAGTATGTCATTTTACCCTTCCACTTCTCTACAGGTGAACCCGTAGATCTCCCAGATCGTCATTTGCTCCATCGGCGATCGTTCTCATCATCTGAGAGCTAAGAGGATAGTGTTACAAATTAGTGTATCTTACTTAGTTAAAGTTTTGTTGCTATTTCTTTGGCATAGACTAAGTCAGTATGAGCTGTCAAATAAAAGAGTAGTTACTCTGCGGTGATAGATTTTTATGCTAAGTAGTTGATTGTTTTTAGGAAAAGTTGTTATGTTTAAATCTATAAATTTCAGCAGTCTAATGTAGTTTTTAGCATGCCTCAATAAAAAGTATTCAGTTTATTCTCCAAATATTAGTATTTCCCTTAATCAATTTTGGCTCTTTTTGTGTTTTGGTATCAGAGCCAGGTTGAGGTTTTTGTTTATTTCACTCTTCTTGTCTATCAAGTTCATCTTGTTGGAGAAAATTGAAACTCAAAATGGAAATTAATGGGGGAAGCAGTTCTAACACACAATATGGTGTGGAGAAACTTGTAGGCACAAACTACAGGTATTGGAGAATGTGCATGGATGCTTTTCTTCAAGGTCAAGATCTTTGGGAACTAGTTTCTGGTGTTAATGAAATTCCAGCTGACACTCCTAAAAATGTTGAGTCACGAAAGAAATGGAAGATCAAATGTGGAAAGGCATTATTTGCTCTAAGAACATCAATCAATAAGGAGTTCATTGATCATGTTTGTGATGTAAGCACAAACTACATGTTAGTTCACCGCCATTATCGCTCCTCAAACATGATCAATGAACTAACATTGATGGTTGCGGTTTCAGCGGTGATGGTTGTAACGGTAGTTCTTATGGTAGTAGAGATTCAGCCACTCGTAGGGGCGGTTTGGTGCTGTGCAGGATGGTGGGGAGGGAGGAGAATGAGAAGAAAAGAGAGAGGGAATAAAAGGAGAGAAAGAAGTTGGAGCGTTAATCAGATTTCATAAAAACTTTAGAATCCATGCCGTTACGTCTGAATTCCATCAGTTTGAAAGGTAAGAGGGAGAGGGTGGCGTGTTCCATTTTAATTGGATGAGACAGAAAATTTTCTGTCTCCTAGGGATAGACGATGCGAGCTCGTCTAAGTCCAATATGATTATATGATCTAAGGGAATACCTCACAAATGCACGTAGATCCTCTAGAATAAACAAAAGATTCGGAGGAGAAGTACGGATTTGTCCAATGCAGATTTCTGATTTCCACTGCAGAGCTATAAATATTCAAAAGGTCAACAATCCACACTCTATGCATCAACGTCCACCCATGAATTGGCATCAATTCTGAGCTGGCACCTACTCCGACATTACTTTGAGCCTAGAAATTCTGACCCTGGGCTGAACCATCATTCTCCCACAAAGATTACTACTCTCATTATTCTTAAATTGCTTTTGCTTTTATCATTTCTAGTTTCTCTTTTATATTGAGCTCCGGTTCCTAATTTTGTTTCGAGGAATAGGTCTTTTGCCCCCCTCTCCTTCCTTATTGCTTTTATCATTTTCTTTTTCTTTAGAAAAAAACTTCCAGAACAGCCTATGCTGTTTGGGAGCTTCCTTTACAGGATACATTACCCGTGTCAGTACTTTGTTTATCTTTTTTTTGGTTAAAGAATATTAGTTGCAAATACTCTTTTACCCCACACCCATGGCAATGTATCATGAGTAGAACCTCCCAAACAATATCAACGTTTATCCCAAATTATCATTATGCATGATTTTGCTCGTCTTCTTTACTTTACATTTTAAAACGAAAAAGAGGCAAAATCATCAGATTGGATTTAACATCATAAAATGAAGAAGGGAGGGAGAAAACCGTCTGTAAGTGTAATTTAATCATTTAAAAATGTTTAATTCATCATGTGATGAAATTTTTCATCCATTTCCCCGATAGAAAGTCCATAATGGCTTTATTTAATTTGTTTAAATTGTGAAAGTTCAAGGGAATGTTTGGCACAAAATGAAGTTTAGGTAGTTAAGTGCTCATATTATAGGGAGTATATGCTTGCGAACCGAATCGATATATATATATTATTTTTTATAGGAAATTTGGCTTACAATCAAGCTCGAATTGAGTCGAACCGAATTCATGAGGCTTACGAACTTTTGAGCTGAACCAAATTTGAGTTCAGATCTCTAACTCAAATTGAGCTCAAACTCAAACCTGACATTGTTTTAGCAAATTAAGCTCAAATAACCAAGTATTCGACTGAGCTCGCTCAGCTCAACTCGAATCCACCCTTAACTATCAACATGGAATTTGGTTTGGTTTCATTGGCTTTTTACATTTTAAGGCCCCAAGCCACTATACCTTTAATAAAAGAATTGCCTGAGCTGGTCTAGCAACAATGTTTTTCCTTTTGTACCCCTGTCAATAAAGATACCTTTGGCAAGGTTTTTCCTCAAGGTAGTAATGTCCATTAATGAGATTCCTTTTTTCTTTTGTACTCCTTGGTGACAAACATAATTTCAGTAGGTGTATTCAATTCAGATTTGAATATTAACAAATCAAATTCCGCTATTGCCTATATCTGATTCAATCTAATCCATTCCATTTGCAGCGTTATCTAGAAGGGACGGAGGACCACTTGTACGCCTGTTGATAGATACCCTTAGCAAAGTTTTTCCTTGACAAGGTAATAGTGTCCATTAATGGGATTCCTTTTACTTTTGTACTCACAACTCCTTGGTGATAAACATAATTTCAGTAGGTGGGTTGCTCAGGCTAGTAAAGACACCAACAATAAATGGAAGTTCTTTCTTTTGTATTAATAAAAAGACATCTCGCAAGAGGGGTTGCTTAGATTGGAAAAGATACCTCCAATTTTCGCTGTTTGTACTCTCGGTAATAAAGATACTTGGGTTTGTAAAGATACCTCCCACATTTTTAGGACAGTGTCAGCCCTAAATGCACTGAAACAAGTAAATCAAAATTTTGATTTATTGTCATTGGCCCCATCTTGAATTAGATGAAGTGACCTATTGGTAGGGCGACTGCATAGATCCAATCCAAGGCCATGATTTTAGAGTTCACATTGGCACCCCACATGTACATCTCAATGTGTATTGGGAACATCTCTCATACTTGTCATTGGGAGAGATTCCCAATACAAGGCTGGGATATGCTGTGGGTTGCACTCTGTGGGGTGCCAATATTTTATCGCTGCGCTAACTACGACAGTGTGGTAACAAAAGTGAGCTCCAGCAAGAATTCTCCTTTTGTACCTTTGCCAGTAAAGATACCCCTAACAGATGGGTTTCCCAAATTGGCAAAAATACCTATAGAAACAGAATTTCCCTTCTTTCTTTTGTCTTGTTTTAAGATTCAGGCCAAAATAAGGAGATAGGATTAGCGAAATGCAATAGCCATTCATATTTATAAAACATATGGGCCTATAATCATTCAATCTCTCTGTGTGGGCCCCATGTATTTTATCACTAGTATGGGGCATCAGAGCCTGCTATACAGCTAAAGCATGCCAGTAGCTACAAACCAACCATGCAAGTAGCTCCATCTCTTGGAGTCTTCTAATTAACCACCATCAAGGTTCAAAGTATGGGAAGGGCAAATTTAAGAGACATATCAGGATATGCTTTGGATACGCATGAATACGGACGAAAAATTAAGATACGCATGAAAACATATGGAAGTGCTATAAATACTCTAATAAATCATAAATAAACATCAATATCACTAAATATAAGACTTAAATGAATTATTTATACATAAAAATCACGTGTTTTAATGGAATTTTATAAAAAAAAAACATATTATAATCAACAAATGGGAACAAAAATATATTATTTAATAAAATACTTAATTCAGTTCCAACTTCAAATTTTAAATCTATTATAATTTACAAATTCAACATTTGAATCCCATTATGATGTTTAAAAGTTAAAACTTAACATGAAGTCATGAATCACATAAAAATTCAATTATTATATAAATTATCCAATTTTAAGTGTTAATGTGTTAGTAAATTAATTTTCAATTGTTATTATGAAAATTTTTATTTTTTGTAAATATTTTTTCAATTATTATCTAATACAAATATACAATTAAACGAATAATAACTGTTTTCATATTTTTGAGGCCACGATTATATTCACATTCAAATAATAGATTACCATGTGAAATATATCAATGCCTTTTATTTTGTATTTTTTAAATATTACTAAAAAAACTTTTTAATTGTTTTAAACATTTTTTCCAAGTGTTATCTAATCCATTTAAGCAATTAACAATCATTGAATAAAACAATTATAAAAAATTTGTAATTATTGAATCAAACATTTTTCTGTATTTTTTAAATAATTATTTATTTTTACTCAAATAATTAATTTGCATGTTTTATTCTAAAAATTAAACAAATATTATTTTTTGAATGACTTCATGGACATCTATTATTTTTATTCTAAAATTAATAATTATTTTGCATGTTTTATTCTAAAAACTAAATAATTATTTACTTTTATTCAAATAATTATTTTTCATGTTTTATTTTAAAAATTAAATTAAAATTAAAAAAAAAAGTAAATATGTAACAGAAAATTTGAATGAATTTATGGACATAATAGATTAAGTACTTATTTTGCATATTTTATCGTAAAAGCTAAATAATTATTTATTTTATTGAAATAATTATTTTGCATTTTTATTCTAAAAATTAAACTAAAATTTAAAAAGTAAATATGTAACAGAAAAATTGAAAGGGTTTATGAACATAATAGATCATCCATATATTTATTGTAAATATTTATTATTATAATTTTATCATAGCAAAAAATTAGAGAAATAAATAAATATTTATAATCTAAAAATAAAAATAAAAAACAAATTAAATTTTCCATATGATATTTCAATATATTGATGCCATCCTTAGTTCTACAACATACTCAACCTATAGGACTAGATCACAAAAAAACTGAAGAAATTATCTATATATTATATATTATTCTAAAAATTAAAAAATAAAAAATCAAATATTAAGAAGAAATTTAAATTGATCTATGGACATGATAGATCATCCATAGATCTACAACATAATCAATATTTAGAGGTAGATCACAAAAAAAAAAAAAAAACCTAAAATTTTCATTTCTTTCAAATTTTTAATATTCTAGAAAATTTTCAAATATTCACAAAGATCTACCTATAGGAGCAAAATAAATGGGATTTTTTGCACAAGAATAACATATCAACATACACAAAGATGTTTTTAAGCATCCAAACTAAAAAAAAACACAAAAACATTGGTTGAGATAGTAAAAAAATTGAAAAAACATACATATTTTCGCTCATTTTTTAACAATCTTGAAAAACTTGTTGGATCTTGGAAATTTGTGGACATTTTGGTGGGTTTTGGCTAGATTTCAATCTCCAAGAATGATATGAAGGTTTCTAGAGGGTTTTGGGAAGAAAGAGGGCTTCTAAAATGGGTTTAGAAGCCCTCTTTCGAATGAAGTTTTTTTTGGTTTTTCGCAACAGTAAAATCATACTGTATAGGCCGATACTCACTGAAACGTTATCGATACGGGTACGATACATTTTTGGAACGGCGAAAAGGAACAGTACTAAAGATTTGGTACCGTTCCCCGTGCCAGAACCTCAAAGATACGATACATATCAGTCAATACGGGCCGATACGTAATAAAATTTTGAACCTTGACCACCATTACTAAACTCGAGCACTGAGGATTAATGAGAATGGAGCAATATCAAATTCAATGATAGCATTCCTACGATATGCATTAATTAAGGTTATGTTTGGTTTGAAGGAAAAGGTAAGGAAAGGAAGGGAAAGGTAAGGAAACCTGTACAAGATTTGTAAAGGCTTCCTTACCTTTCCCTACTTTTTCCTTCAAATCAAATATAGCCTAAGGGTTCGATTATGATATGGAAAATATATAATATCCTATAAATAACTGACCAATAAACCAGAATCATAAATATGGTAAGGAACATGGTGTTATTTATCAAAATAAATAGATGAGCTTTGATTCGTCAAAACTCTTTCCATACCATATCATTTCTGCACCATAGATTTTCCCATTAATTAAAACCGAAAGTTCCATTTGTTTTGTTGCCAACAGAGTATATGATTGCTGGTTTGCTTTCTTTCCATGTTTTGAATCAGTCACAAGCTATATTGTCTCATGCTATCAGTTTTGAGAATTTGAGGAATTGTTTCTCTAAAAATCTGCAAAACTGAGGTTGTGAAATTGGTTTCTCACTTAGGCCCTGTTCACTTTTTGGGAAGTTAATTGTTCGGATAAATGTAATTATCCAGGTAAGTGCATTTATATATTTTTTTATTTCTCAGGTAATTAAATAAGAAAATAACCATTTTATCCTTAAAAAACCATTATTAATAGGTACATTTTTTTCTCATCCAACTTCTAAGTATTGGCAACTTTCTCCCAAATGGAAAAATCTAAAAAAGAAAACGAAGAGGCCCTTAATTTTATCTATTTCTTTGAATGTACAAAATTGATTCTGACTTGTATAGCATCATTATTCAACCGATTTCCCCCCAATTTTTCTTACATTTGCCAATTTATTACAAAGAGAATGACGACAAAGGTGTTTATGTATGTGCTGTGTACACTCAAATTAACCTAAATCCTTGTTTTGGTATTGTGGCATCTATTTGATGAAAAAAAAAAAAAGATATTCGCATAGTGACCGAGAGCTTGAATTAAATCTACTAAATAAACAAATTAAACCATCCATTCCAAAACAAAGTAATACAATAACAACAACTCCAACTAGCTAGCTAGCTAGCAGTGAAAGTTTATCTTCAATTATAACTAGATGGGTACTCTACAAATTTCAAGAATAGATCTACAAAGGACATCAGAAGAGTGAATTGCACTTTTATCCTACCATATGGACTAAGTCTAACCGACAGTAGAAGAAACTCTACTATTGGGTTTTACTATAATACAGATATAGATATAGATATATATATATATATATATATATATATATATATATATATATATATATANTATATATATATATATATATATATATATATATATATCTCTAGGATTTACCTGGGTTGGGTATGTATAGAAAGCGTGTTAACCATTCGACCAGCCCTGGGCAAACGAACTGGAACAGTACCAACACTCTGAACCACGACGGCTCTATTACATATCTATCTCCGCGGCATGTTCCATCTACAATGGCTTTTGCGCATTTTCCTGTGCTCTGAACTGGAAAAATGCTGGCTACAATCTGCATTCCCAACACCCATATACACATTCCTATATCATCATGCATGCAATACCCATACATGTCTTAAACCAGACCCAATAATCCACAGAAACAGGTTATAGTTGAATAGTAACTACTGGGACACACCCATTCCGGAGCTTGAGTTATTTTCCCTCCAAGTCAACCGATCAGTGGTTCAACAATGCAAATCAATATGTGGGTCCTATTTGTTTTTCGAGAAATAATAGGAGCGGCAAATCAATATGTTTTTTTTTCCATAAGTTCTAAGGCCCATGATAAAGTTAGTTTCCGTAAGTATCATTTATCCTGATAAGCGATATTCATCTCCTAAGTGAGTAAGTAACTTTTTCCACCTGATTAGAAGGTTTACAAAACATAATGTTACAATTTTGACCATTTTAACATTAGTTTTTTAATATAGGTCAAAAAGTTATTATAAAATTTACCTAGGAATTAAAAGAATAAGGATAAGTAAACTTGTCCCAATAAGCAAATGTTTCCTAGAAAACATTTACTTGGATAAATGCACTTATCTGGGTATGACCTTTTAAAAGAGGAACAAAGCCATAATATCACCACCAAACATCTATACTACTATAAAAAGTACCAATAGTGTCTAAATTGTCTGGAATATTTTTGGACTAAAATATCCCTTTTTTGAAATAGGGTCCCTATCTATTATGAGAGCAGAAAATGTAATTTGAATTCTATTATTCATTGCATTCAATTCTCTCTCATTAAATTCCATTGAAGGTATTAACTCTCATTGGCCTTCATTTAACCATACATTTAAGGCATTTTTGTTTCTTTTAATTACTAAATTCCACTAACTAAATCCATACATAAATAATTCTAATAACATAAAAACTTATACTTTTGAAATTGACATGGAAAAGCAGTATTTTTATGTGGTGGTAAGAAATTAAACAATTTTGGGTCAAATAGGCCAACCCATGTTGCATTGTTTCCACAATTAAATAAAAAAATTAAAACTTGATAAAATGCAAAAAAATATAGAAATTAAAGATAATTTTTTGGAACATCTTCAATATCATATATTCATCATATTAGACAAGAATAAGTATGATAAATAAGAAATACTTTAATTAATGATGAAAATAGAATATAAAATTTAAAATCAATTGGAAATAAAATTATTTTTCTATTCTCTCTCATTAAATCTCATATCTAAGGTGTATGCACTCATTAAATCCTATATTTAAGATATATTTTCTCATCATTAAATTCTATTAATTAAATTCACAACATTGATTTTAATAATATAAAAATAAATATTTTGAAAATAAAACTATTTTCTTCCCTCCCATTGGTGGGTAAGAAATTCAACCATTTGGGTCAAATGGATTAACCAATAATGCCATAATCAAATAATAAAAAATCAAATAATAAAATATAAAAATACAAAAAAAAAGTTGAGCATATCTCTAATATTATATATTCATTATACTAAATAAAATTAAGTATGAAATGTAAGAAATATTTTTATTAACAATGAATAATAAATATTTAGAAAAGATAGAACAAAAAAAATAAAAAGTATACAATTTTGTTGTAAACATTTGGGGACATTTCTAATGTTATATATTCATCATATTAAATAAAAATGTTAAAATAAAAATTATTTTTATTTATGATGGAAATGGAATATAAAATTATATAATAATAATAATAATTGTCATTATAATTAAAAATTTCAACATACAACGCACACCCATATTTACTAGTATATAAAAAAATCAAAAATAAAACACAAGAGTATAGTAACCCTATGAACAGGGTTCAACTTCCCGAGTTGATGGATCATTAGTAACAAAGACAATGAGACTTGTAATGGATTTAGGTTGACCTGAACCAGTATTGTGACTATGATCACTAATCACAATAATGTCATCACACATTTCAAAAAAAAAAAGCATTAATATAATAACTTCATAAGCATGTCAAATGGGTAGTAGTTCAACAACTCCAAAGATGGGTACTAAGACAATGGGTTTTATAAAGGTGTCATTTGGCAAGTCTTTTTTGAAAGATCTTCTGAAACATCTAATAGTGAGCTTTTACATAAAAATCTTGGCAGCCTATAGACTATTTGGTTGGAGTTGCATCTTTCCATGCATTTTTCTGCGCGAAAACAAGACGAAAAAAGTGAGAAGCTCTATTTCTAGCTTCCCAAAATAAGCTCAAATCGAGCTTCTCGTGTATTTTTGGGCACAGTCTTTCAATGGATAAATCTTCTTTCAACCAAACAAAAAAAAAAAAAAAGAATAAGAAAAAATCACAGACTGCCAAACTTTTAAACAATTAACAGCCTGTATGGAAAGACACACCAAACCGAGCCAAAGATTTTTAGGTTCACTCGAACTAGTATTGTGATGATCACCAACCCAATTAGCATAGCCAAGTTAAGAATGGTCTAGTTGAATACAAGCTAGGACCAACAGAGGGTTTTCAATTTTTCATTACCCGAATAGATTTCTAGGCTAGCACAAAATATATACCAAGAGTCATCCTTGCTACAGCCAATTTCTTACCTCTTTCATTTTCTGATCCACCTTCACTTCACCTTCATTGGTCAGGTGCTTTCCCTGGATCATCTCTGATTCAATAAACCCTGGAGCTACTGTTGTTATTTTGATTTCTGGTGCTAATTCAACTCTCAATGTCTCGTAGAAGTTCAGCAACGCAGCTTTACTTGCCTGAGAGACGCCATATATTGAAGACATTCAGTTTTAAAGAGAGAATCAAAACAAGAAATAATGAGAAATGGCTTGTATTTCCAAGCTTTCCACTTACACCATACACGCTCGACCACGGTGAGACCAACCACCCAGTCGCTGAAGCATTGACAACGATCTTGCCCCTGCTCCTTTTCAGGTGTGGAATTGCAAAACGAGTGGGATAGATTGACCCCCAAAAGTTGATATCCTACATAATCCAACACGCTACTAATTTGCTTCAAAAAAAAAGGAAAATTTTAATGACCCGTTTAATTTTTGGATTTTGAGAGAGGGGGAGTTCATGAAATTTTAGTTGAAATTGATCGAGACACCCATGTTCTTTTTTCAGATTTATGAGGTTTTATGAAAAACCTATTTTTCTTGTCAAAGTGATACTCATTGTTCCATATAGGTAATAACTTTCCCACTAAAGGTAAGTTGCCAACACTTAGATGGGATAAAATTGACCATTTTAATAATTATTGTTTTTTATAAATAAAAGAGCCATTATCTTATTTACCTGAGAAATATAAAAAAAAATGGATTAAGTAGGCACATGATTTGTCACAGTTAAGTTTTTCCCATGTTGTGTCTTTCCAGCATCATAATCAAGGGGCGGGATATAGTAGGCACAACAAAGTAAGCACGTTAATTGAGCACTTGATAAATATTTTGACAACTATCAAAAGTGGGTATTAATTTTTTTCAAGGGTAGGCTGGGGTATTTTAAGAGACAGTTGTCAAAAAAAAAATTTAAGTGCTCATTTAACGTACCTACCTAATCCGAACTGCAAAATCAAACCCTAAAAAAATATGAGAAGTTCAAAACTTAGGTTTCGGAATGAAATTAATGAAATAAGTTTGGGGACGAAGGTGTCACTAGCCCAAAGCAAAAGGTGGGTCTCAGTATTATAACCCAAAAGAAAAGAAAAAAGTCACACTACAGTTATATAATTACTTGGAAGTAAGTACCATCACAGATGTGAAATTTGCGACATTAACTGCTTCTTTGAATAGGCAAAAGCTATCAATCCCAGCGTTGCACACCAGATGATCCACTGCAAACCAGAAACTTGAAACTCTTTATACATTAGCAAAACAATTAACTACTCCGAAGGCTCAGTTTAGAAGGAGCAGAGCGTAAAACTTTGTATTTTGTATGTATTTACACTCTACAAATTTGCATTTGCATTTGTACTCCTTCCAAACTGAACCTAAACAAAGAAGCAAGCTCTAGCTGCTGGACTTACGCCTGCCGAACTGGTTCACTGTTTCTTCAACAAATCGCTGACAATCATCCACTTTGGACACGTCTGCCGGAACAACTAAAACATGGGGAGAGCCCAGCAGACGACACTTCTCAGCGATTACTCGGAGATAATTCTCTCGTCTTGCCACTAGCACCAATGAAGCTCCTCTCTTTGCATACTCGTAGGCGAGGTGCTGCCAAATAAAAATGAGGATCCATCAGCCAAGCATCAGTCGTCACCTACCACCCAACAAATTATATTCTGCACTAATTCGATCAGATCGATCTGTAAGCGCAGTTGAGATTTTGCACAAACCTCTCCGATTCCTGATGAAGCCCCAGTGATGAGAACAACTTTTCCGGCCATGTTCTCCATGTAGATGTATGCTAGAATGAATCTTATAAACCTGAAGATGATCAACAGAGGAAAGGTGAGACAAAGCAGAAGGAAAGCTATGGGAGGAGATACCAGATTCAGGAAGCTATGAATGTTATCCATGGCTTTACAACATATTGTTCAACCCATGCATGGAAGCATTTTATACGTACGACTTTGAGTGTTTTATATATGTTTAGAGTCATAATTGATTATTAGTGTACTGTGATCAGCAGCCTAGCTATATTATTAGTAAGTTGGTGAGTTTAATTAGGAGTAAGGAGTTCCCCATTTGCCAACCGAAAGATGAGCTCTATTCATTTGGCAATAAATTTTGTAGGTGGGAAGGTTGGCAATAAAATCATCAAAACTCTTAGAAGTTGATAGAGTTCAGGTGTGGGTATGGGTACTTTGGAACCATTCTGGACCTGCTGCGAATACATGCGTGAGTAGGAACGGGATGTGCAGGGGCGCCTCACATGCACATCCACCGTGCATTGGAAATATCCACCTGAGTGAGGAGCAGATCTGGTTTCGGGTGAGTATGGGGCTACGTAACCAATCACAATCACATGTACGGGACCCAAAACAATCTTGTGTCCAAAGTCCAATGCATATTGAATACTGACGTGTCCCGAGTCTACTGGTAGGTGGTAGCCTTTTAATTCAATAAAATGGACTAGTGTTTTTTCATGGTAATATTGTTAGGTTGAGTTCAGTTACTGCACTTTTTCTATCCAATTCTTAGGGTGTCAATGGATCCGTTTTGGATTGAACCCTGTTCAAATCAAAAATAATTTGGACAGATAAGACATATTGAATTGGATTGGATTGGACCTGGTCCATACATATATAGTGAATTTATATTGAATTGAGATTTGTCTCTGATCCATTGGTAGAAGATAAGAATATAAGTGTCAATGGACCAGGTTTGAATTAGAATTAATCAAAATTAAAACAATTTTGAACAGATTAGATGGTCCATACATTGAATTGGACCGGTCCAAAATGATTCAAAATATTCATTGGATTGAACTGTACCTGGTCCATTTGCAATATACTCACATTGGGCTGGATCGGATTGGACCAAATCCAGTCCAATTGATACCCCTAGTTCCAATGACAATCTTACCAGAAGAAAATAGGGCTGCAGCTCGGGCGGGTGGTGAGCCCAAACCCAGCTTGGACTGACCCATCCTTAGACTTGGATTTTCGGTTTTCAGGTTAGATCAATTCCAGCTTTTAGGTATCTGAATTAGACTCGAGCTTGATCTGATCTTATTCTAATCCGAACCTAGCCGAATATACACATTTATATATATAATTGCATACATGTGCACATACATGTCAAATTTTATAGTGGGCTCATTGATCAACCCAAATGTATCAAATTTGAATGCAGATTAGGCCTGGGTTGAAAAGATTACACTTGACTTCAGGCTCAATCCGAGCTTGGGCCTTAGGCCCAAATCTTAGGGTTGGGCCTAGGTTGAGCATAAACCCAACCCAGACTGCCCAACTTGCATTCCTACGAGAAAATAAGCAAGTGAAGGATAAGATGTCAGTGGGTCAGGGTTAAGTAGTAAACCCATGTTAACCCGACCCTATCGGGTTGGGATCAAGGCAGTTTTAATCAGGTTCAAATTGAGACCAACCCATGATAAATCCAACCCGTTGTGTTTGGATCATTGAAACATTTAAACATATATCCTTCTTGGTTGAGTATTGGTTTACTATTATTTTGGAACAGGCTGACTCGGGCGGTTCAGTATCCCTTTTCATTTAATCAGGTTGAGTTCAAGTTGGAGTGACGTCCATTCGGGTTGAAATTGAGTACTCAAACCCAACCATTGTTTTAAAAACTGATGACCAAGAGGCTAACCCGTTTTCCCTCTAGGTGGTAATAATAAGTTCAACCATCCAAGTTGAAGGTGTCAATTGGACTGGGTTCAGTCCAATGTGAGTCCATTATAAATGGACCAGGTTCAATATAATTCAATGAATATTTTGGATCATTTTGGACCACTCTAATTCATTGTCTGAACCGTCCAATCTGTTCAAATTTGTTTTGATTTAGATTGGTTTCAATCAAAATTCAGTCCATTGACACCTATATTCTTATCTTATATTAATGGACCAGATATTGGTTTAATCCAACCCAATCCAATATAAATTTATTACAGACGGACCGAGTCCAATCCAATCTAATAAATATTTTGGAGTGGATTGGTCCAGTTCAATATGTCTTGTTAGTCCATCCAATCTGTTCAATTTGATTTTGAACTAGACGGGATCCAATCCATAACTGGTCCATTCACACCCTTAGATCAACTTATGATGTCATAAACAAATAATAAAAATATTAATAAGATCCTGGGATATCAAGTGTGCACGAAAACATAAGTTCAAATTTAAGAGTAATCACTTTGTGCTAAAAATGCCAAATGTTTAGTGATGAGGGGTGATTTAGCCCGACCTAGTAAACAGAGGACACGTGGATACAACCTATCAGCTAGAATGTGACTTAGCACCTACTGCCATTTCAGCATTACCTGCCACCTCGGGTGTCTTGGGCACCACGGGAATGACTGAGGTCCGAGTAGCTCGGGATTGTCTAACTCACCGAGGTGAAACATATCAGACTTCTAGAAGCATGCCACATGCCAATTGTCTCCGAGCTCTTCAGGATCATGCCACACAACTGTGGGACTTATCCTCATCCCACCTGGATCAGGTGGATACTATAGGCCCTATTGGCTAGCACATTATCCACCTCCCGGGGCGGAATGGACTTCTAATGGCGCAGGCCAAGTATCTCGGAGGTGTTTTGTGAGACCCATGACAGTCCAGCTATATAAGGGTATCAGCCCCTGAGACCTAGGTATGCGCAATTACTTGCACACTAGCTCTCATACTCACAATCTTTCAACTCGCAATGCAACCAGCATACTAACTTAAACAACGAAGTGACCACACCGGATTAGCCACCCCAGGTTCTTTGAGTTTTCCCCTTCTTGCATTTTGACTCGCCAGCCAAGCAACCGACATCTGAACTCCCATCCAGCTAAGAGTGACTAGATCGCACACCATCAAGTAAGATGAAAATTAAATTGGGTGCAGAAAGATCAACATTCAACAACCCAAATAAATGCAAAGTTATGGATTAACCCAAACTAGCAACTTGATCGAGTGTCGAGTTGAAAACGCTGAATCTCGGCCCTCTGACATTCATAAAATAATGGCCACTGGGGCACCATTACCACACAAAGGCACAAACTTCTGCCCCAGTACTATTGTAATTTGTACCTATTGAGTGGTGCTCATAGCTGCTGCAGCATCCTTGTGCAGCCGTATACAGAACCTTTATGATAGTAATAGAATACGAAAGATCTAAAAATTGTGTAACCCATCGATTCCAAACGATCTGACAATTCGGTTTTAATTTAAAGTATCACCCAGGATCTGTCTTTCCATCGGCCCCGATATTGATTTCTCTAAATGCTTCCCTTGCACAGGTAGTACGGTTGAGGTGTCCTAATTTCATTTTTAATGTCACGGGTTCAGTCATGAAGCAATTTACACTTCTTGGACTGTCAAATGGACCACTACAAGCAAAAGCAAGGTGTCATCCAGCTGGTTGGTAAGGTATTCTGATGGTCCTAGCAGAGATTGGAATCAAATCCTACCCCCACTTGGGGTGGGGAATTATGGGTACTGAGTACACCTGTTCCTTGAAGCACCCCCAACCTACCCTTTAAAAAGATTAAAGACAACTTTTAAGTTTTGACAATTGTCAGAATATTTATAAAGTGTTCAATAAATGTGTTTCTTATGTTATGGTTATTGGATCCAATGGCCAATAGATCACCTCAACTTTAAACACTTTTTTTTGCTCTAAGAAACTACACAACGGGATAGGGATAGTCTATCCCCCAACCCATGTGCAGGCGAACCTTATCAACAAGCAGTGCTTTGCTATAACCAGCAGGAGACCTTACCAACCAGGTTGGCACCTTGATAGAGTTAATAATAATGGTTATAATATTTGTATGTCTGTTACCGTTGGATTCACAATTGACAATAACTTCAGTTTGATCAAATATCACAGTAACTTCAGCTAGACCGATTAAGACCTCATCCCCCCTTCCCTCCAACAAGGAACATCAATTTGACGAAACTCAGATTCAGTCCTCACAAGACTATACTCAAACCATACTTACAGCCACTTGCAGCTATGCATTGAAAATATTTTCGCATGAATAAAAGCATACACTAATACATAGTTGCGAGTGCCTGTACGTTGTGAGTACTGAATCCGATCTCACGTTTCTACCAATAGCCTCCCATGAATGAACTTTTAATACACTGTCTGTTTCAATTATAAATAGATTCAAGTAATAGGTAAATCATATGCCAACTTATATGAATGAACTTTTAATATATTGTCTGTATCAATTATAAATAGATTCAAATAACAGGTATATCATATGCCAATTTGTATGAATCAACACAAAACATTTTCAGTTAAATATCTATCTATATATACACAACTTAGGACCCGTGTGAGATGTACGGGATTTATTAAACGAAAGATAAATAATAGAAAGGATCATTTACTAAAATACCCTTATAGTTTCGTAGATTTACTAAAATATACCCTATAGTTAGCATTTTACTAAAACACCACTTATAATTTGCAACGAATTTAATCAATCTTCCATTAGATGATAGTGGAAAATGATAGTGTTGACATTAATGTTCATTTAAATAAATTTAATCAAAAGAAAATAGAAATAAAAATACTATTCCTTCCCTTAATAAGACACGGACAACCACTCTATTGGCTATATTTGGCCAATTTTGTTTTTTGTATGAAAAAAGTGTTAAGGGTATTTTTGAAATAAAAAAGGGTTTGTATCAAAAAGGGTTTTTTGTATGAAATAAAAAAGTGTTAATGAAAGGTTGACTAAGTAAATAAGTTGTAAAATATATGGGATGTTTAAGTAAAATGAAAACTATAAGGTAAGTTTAAGTAAATATATAAAACTATAAGGTGTGTTCTAATAAATGACCCTAAGGCTCCGTTTGGTTTGTGGCATGGGGCTGAGAAAAATATTTTCTTTTCTCTCATTTGTTTTGAGGGAAAGAGAGGGATGGGATG